TGCAAGCTTCGATCGCGACCATCGCCATCATGGTACCGTCTTTCACCTTCCTGCGGTCCGCTCTCCCCAAGCCTGGGACACCAAACAGGTGATCTGGTGTCCTCAGACGGGGGATCCTGGCTCGCGAAAAGGTGGAGCACGGTGGACCTGCGTGGACCCACCAAAACTCCTTCTGCCGCAGCCTGAGCATGAACCTCGCGACGGCCGTCTGATCGAGAAGGTCGCACTGCTGCCCGTTGTCGATCTCCCAGGCCTCCGCCCAGGTGGGGACGCCCACCCTGAAGGCCTCCGCTAGATTCCCCGACCCCGCAAAGAGCTCGACCATGCCGGGCAGGCCCGTGACCCTGAACCCCGTGGTCTCCTCGGTCTCCTCGGAGAAGATGTCGTCCATGGCCGCGTGTCGCCATTCGGCCTCGGTGTACGCCGTGTCGACCTGCACTCCCCAGCCTTGCTGACGGGCCCAGCGGGCCTCGCATCTCTGCGACTCCGCTGAGGCCTCCGAGGACATCGCCGCGTAGCCGTAGTTGCTGGCGTCGGTCATGTACACACTCGAGTGCCAAGCCAAAGAGAGGTCCGAGAAGAAGAAGATGGACAGCTCGGCCAGGGCGACCAGCTCCGCCTTCACGTCCTTCCACAACAGCCTGGACCGCGACCGATCCTCCGAAGCGTGGATCCAGGCGTAGATGACGTGAGGTATAGAGAAGGCAGCTCGAGCCACCATCATGGCCCACGCCCAGTGCCCCATGACCACCTCGAGGAGAGCGGGCGGGGCCGAGTCCTGAAGAGCGAGGGCCTCGGTTGCCAGCACCAGCTCCCGTAGCTTCTCGTCCTTGACGCGACAGCGCAAGGTGACGGGGTCGATGGTGATGCCCAGCTGCTCGGGAAGCCCCCTCCCCGCGCTCTCCTTGTGGACTGCCAGGCCCTTGTCCACAAGCATCTGCTTCGCCTCGGCAGCCGCCGCATGCAGGTTCGGGTCGTTCTCGTCGTCGCCCGTCAGGCCCCCGCCGTAGTCGTCGATGTAGAGCCAGTACAGCAAGCGGTGCTCGAGGAGGTTCGGCACGGAGCTGCCGTGCTCGACCCTCGCCGCTCCTGTGGCCTCCAGGTCGTCGAGGCAGTCGGTCAAGGAGGTGTGGGCAAGGAAGACGGCCCAACTCCACCCCATGGGCACAACACAGCAGGCGACGCCCACGGCACTCTTGGTCGGAGGCGGCAGCTCGACGCCTCGACCTCGCGCGAACTCCCACAGCTCGGCCGGGTCGACTCCATCCAAGACAAAGTAGGAGTACAGCTCTGGCAAGTTCTTCAGCCTGTAGAACATCACGGGCACGTCGCCTTGGAAGGTGAGGAATTGCTTCTCCCCCAAGACGTCGGGGCCCAGGTCGATCTCCGCCAACGCCGCGGGAGAGCCGAGAGGCACCCACGGAGGCGTCTGGAAGTGAAGGTTGACTCGACGAGCGTCCCACACCAACCTGGAGGTGACCTTCCTGTCCGAGCCCGTCCCCTCGACCTTCTTGACTACGGTGAAGACCGAGAGCTTCTCCCGGACCTCGTCCACGTACTGCAGCATGTTCGACTCCCATATCTTGACGGCCAGCTCCAGCCGAGTCGTGCCGTGCTTGAGCTCGGGGGCCTCGTACGGCTTGATCTTGCGATACTCCCTCATGTCGATCTCCGCCTCCGACTTCAGCATGAAACGTCCAGGCTCCTCGAGGTAAGCGGCCGCAGACCGCGCCAGCTCTTTCACGCTGACCCCTCGGAGCTTCGGTGGAGGCAGGTCTACCTCGGATACTCGCAGCGGGCACAAGGCCCCTCTCTGAAGTCGCTCGCTCCCTCCCGTCTCCGAGGCAGAGCCGCTCCCATATCCCACAGGGAGCTTCTCGCCATAGCGGCGCAAAACCGCTCTGCCATCGTCGACGGAACCCCACTTAGCCCTCTTGACCTGCTCGTTCCAGACGCGTTGGACAATCTCCTTCTGCAAGAACGTGGACTGAGCCCAACCGCCTCTGGAGACGTGCGACTCCCAGTCCCTCAGCTCCTTGAAATGCCCACGGGCCAGACCGCGGAGCGCAGCGATGGCACGATTCGACCGAAGCCACGTCACCCGCCTCACGCTCGCGCTCAACACGCCGTCTGAAGTTGAGCACCACGTCGCTGGTAAAAAAGGTAGCGTTTCAATCAGATCTCGATGCCCGCGAGCGTCCTCCTGGCGAGGTCGCGAGGGTTTCGTGTCCTGGGCGCCGTCCTTGCTCATGACGACGAACTGGGTCGCGGCAAGGCCAAGCTGGCAAGTGCAAGGAAACCTGCAAGGCCTTCAAAACTGGGAGCTCGAAGAGTGAGCTCGAGCAGGCAGCGCACGCTGAAGCCGCCGAAGAGGTGGAACGCGTTGCACGCCAACCGACGCGCGGAGCAGTAGCAGCACCGCCGAACTGGATGATGAAGGGCCCGACGAGGGTCCAGTACACACCGAGCGAAACGAGCAAGAAGAGGGCCGCGAACAGCCTCCTCTGCTCGGGTGGACTTCTGGATCTGAACCGCCCCGCTACCGATGGGCGGCCGGTTTGTCACTCGTCCGCCGCGGCAGAACCAGAGACTGACCCCAAGTGCTTCTGGAAGAGAGCCTTCTTCTTGAGCTTCTCGGTCACCTCGTCGTCCGCCGCGTCAATGTCGTTCTCAGACCTGTCGACCCTGAAGTACTGCTCCGCCAGCATCCAGTCGACCTTGCTCTTCCACTTCGATCCGGCCTGACTCTTTGGACGAAGCCAGTCGTCCTTCTTCTGAACCCGATCGAACGCCTTCATGATGCTGTAGATCCTCAGGCAGACCAGCTCCGCCGCCCTCGAGTTGATGACCGACGCCGGCGACTCTGCCTCCAGCATCCGGTCAATCACCATGCCGAGGACGAGGACCTCCGCGGCCGCGCTGCAGCTCTCGGGCTCCTTGCTCCGTAGCCACTCACGAAGCTCTGTCTGGGCCTTCTTCCCTCCGCGGTAGAGCCGCGTGAGCACCTCAGGGGCCGAATCTCCCCTACGCGGCCAAGGTCAGCAGCGCCATCAAAAGCCTTGAGCGCGGACAGCATCGCCTCCCGAGGGTTGCGAGACTCCATCTCCAGCTCGTGGATCCTGACCTTCAGGGGGTTGCGGTTCGGGCTGTCCTCCATGCCAGCGCCGACGAGCTCGAAGCCGTGGGGAGACGACGGAGAGCTCCCCGCTGAGGGCGACCCGCGGGTCCCCCGAGTGCTGTCGAGCTCGACGACCCGCTCGTGCTCCCGCAACTTGGCCAGAAGCTCCTCGATCTTGTCCCTTGACGGTTCGATCGGCCCCGACTGAACGTCCGATCCCCCCTCCCCCGACGCATTGGCAGGGCGGTTCTTCAAGTCATTGACAGCCTGCATCAGCTCCGCCATCTGCTGCTGTCCTGCGAGAATGGTCTCCATCATCGTGGCGGTCTTCGAGTCGGCCTCCTCGCTCTCGGTGGTGACGTCGCTGGCCACGGAGTCATCGTCGCTCTCGGAACCCGCGTACTCCGTGCCCGTGTCCTTGGACCCGCCGAAGACCCACCAGATAGCGATCAGCCCGACCGCCAGGGAGAACACATAGAAGTCGAGCTCCCCACTCTCGCGCATCTCGCCCACGGACTCCCCCAGCTCGCCGAGATGCTCGACCCACTCGCGGCCTTCCTCGAACTTGGAGTATAGAGCCACCACCCAACCGTAGACATTGAAATAGCTCCACGCACGCCAAGCCACGATCCCAGCTCCCGCTACAGGCCCCCAGCTTCGCCTCGCCCACGCCCAGAGCCCGATCGAAGCAGCCGCCTTCGTGGCCCCGAAGCTCGGGATCAGGTGAATGCGACGACCCTTGGACTTGGCGGGGGCCTTCTTCTTGGAGCTGCTCGGCACCGTGTGGCCCTTCATGCGGTCAAGCAGGCGCTTGCTGGCCTGCTCTGCCTCCTCCTTCTCGTGCTGGCTGAGTCCTGCATGGTCCGTGTACGTGACTCCAGGCTTGGCCCGCGTCGAAGCGTGGACCTTGTCCTTCGGGTTGATCAGCTGGACCCTGCCCGTGGGATCTAGGGCCGTCCACTCGCCAGCGCGGCCCGCTCCTGAGGGAGCCTTCTCGATGAGCAGCATCACCACTCCAGCAGGGCCATCCTTGCTGCTGCGCCAGTACAGTCGGTTCCACTTTCTGAATGACATCGACTTCCACGGGAAGGTCCCACGATCTCCGTCGTGGGCTCGCTCAGTGTACTCTACGTCCTCGAATGCCGCCGACACGGCGGGCTCCTCGGGCTGTTCGGCCGCAGGCTGCTCCCACGGCCGGTCACTGAAGCCGAGGAACGCGAGGACCACCCAGAACACGGCGGTGGCCACCCGCCCCGCCGTGGTGGCGCGAGGGGCTGCCTGGGCCCGATGAGGCCTCCTCGAAGCGCCAAGCGCAGGATGCGCCCCAGCCGCGCGGGCGGATGGGCGCTCTCTGGGCCAAGGAAGGGCGGCGGCACAGGCTTACCCGCCCCAATCTCTTGAGCCCAAAAAACTGCGAGCCAACGCGAACGCCTGGCGGGATATTTTGGCCAAGCCTCCGCTCGGAGGTATACTACTCTTCACAGGCAAGGGGGGAGCGGCCACCTGGAAACCCTTAAACCGAGCCCAGGAAAGAATGTTTGAAAACTGATAGCCCCCCCTCCAACGCTTTCCCCCCCTTTCTCGTCTACACGATCCCACCGTCCATCCCTCCTCCAACCCCTCGGTCACGATCCTTTGGCGCACCCTCACTCGCTCCAGCCCTCACTCTCAGCTTCGCTCCTTCCGTTCATCTCTCCCCCATTCCCTCTGCAACATCTGCGCCCCCCCTCGCTCCATTCTTCCGTCCACGCCTCCCCCATCCCCATCCAAATCCTCTTCTTCTCAGTATATTCACACTTCCTCTTCTCCTCTTCTCCCTCTACTCCGTAGTCGTTTGGCTTACCTCTTCGGCGCCTGGCGGCGCCCAGCCACCAGGGGTGCCATGGGCGACGTCGCCGCCTCAGCGTCCTACCAGACATGGGCTGAGTTAACCGCGGCAACGCTCTTCTCCCCCCCTAAGCCGCACCCTCAAATCACAAGCAAACTGAAAGGTGTGGCAACCCACTCATCCCTCTCAGACCCGCCCTCGACTGCCTCCACTTTTCTGACGCCCTCAGGCGGCTGGAGAGGCGATGGCAGCCGTTCTATCCCAGCAGCTCGAGGGAGTGCGACACCTGCTTCAACGAGTTGATTTTCCAGGGGACGGCCACTGCCAGTATCATTCCATATCGGTCCAAGTTCGAGGGCGAGGATACGGGTTTCAAGGCCACGTCCAGATGCGCCAGCAGGTAATCGAGCACGTCCGCACCCACCAAGCCTATTTTTGCGACTTCTTCGCGGGGCCACGCCCGTCGGCACAGTTATCCAGGTGGCTCTGGCGAGCAGATCACGGTGCTTGGGGGGGGGCAACGTTTCACTGCAAGCAGCTCGTCGGTTTCTGAGTCGACCTATTGCCGTATGGAGGCGCGACTCTGCTCAACAGCCGACAGTCTTGATACCTCCCGGTTACGACGAGTCCAACCCGGCAGACCCCGTGTACCTGGAGCTAGACGAGCGCAGCAGAGGCCATGAACACTATTCCGCACTCCGGCTGGGCCCCGCAGGTCTCGCTTCCCGCAAGAGGGCGTACCGAGAGGACCCGGTCTTGCTCCGGCGGGAACGGGGGCGCGACGCTGCCCGCAAGAACACACAACGTGACGACCCAGTCTTGCTCCAGCGAGACCAGGAGCGTGACGTTGCCCGCAAGAAAACAGAACGCGACCAGAAACGACGTGCTCTTCCTGACCCTGCAGACGCCGTCGCATTGCTGGACCGCCTCCACGAGGAATCCGGGTATCAGGTCTCCAGACACTCTCGGCGCCTCCGTGGCACGTCCGCGACCATGCCTCCCGCAGACCTAGCGCAGCGGATCGCTGACGACGTGCTTCAGTACTGCACTGTCACGGAGGAGGACAAGCTCAGACTTGTCTCGTCCTATGCCGACGCGATGCCCCACGACGCGCTCCTGCCGGGATGCGGGACTTGCGGGAGCCGGGATCCCCAGCACCCCGCCGAAGAGACGTGCACGTTGGAGCCTCTTCCTGCAGACCACTGGATACGATATTCCGACGCCGACGTGCAGACGTTGAACAGTATGCCAGTCGTCACGCTGGTGAACGAAGATGGTGCCCAGCGCGTCGTCGAAACGTCTTTGCTGAAGAGCCACTGGCGGGACCCTCGAGGCAATGTCTTCCACGTGCACCCAGAGCTAGTAGACAGTGATGGCGAGGGTCAGCACTTCGTGTTCTTGTGCCCTGTATGCTCTAGAGCAGCCGTCCAAAAGAGCGCGCCTCCACCGCCTTTCACGATAGCTGCTGGCGTGGACTTTGGCCTCCTCTGTCGGCTCGGCATGGATGCCCCTTCCGAACTCGAGGCTCTCGCTCTGGCTGACGCTCGCGCGTGCAATCTCGTGGCCACAGTTCACGTGCCGCGCAGCCGCGCAACGCAGGCGTCCCGTACGCTGCTCCGTGGCCACATGATCTCGTTCCTCCAAGACGGACCAGCTGTGTTGGGTAAGCACTTCGACGACGCTCGTTTGGCTAACCTCTTGGCCAACGTGCAGCTGGTGTTCGTTGGGCCCAACGGGAAGACAACGGACCTCGAGCGTCGGGCCCTGGCTGTGCCTGCGCTGCAGATGCGCACACACGTCCTCTACAACCACCTTGCTGTGCGACATGTCCTCGGGCACGTCTCCGACATCAGCCTGCCGTCTGTCGATGACCTGGGGAGCCTGCTCGCGTCCTTGCGAGCGCGGCTCGCTGCCAGGGCTCGGCACGTCGCCGACGACGCTGTTGAACAGGCCAGCAAGCCGTCTGACGTAGCGAACGTGAGAGACGTGGCAATGCACGAGGACATCCAGGCCGTGCACCTCCCCGCGCCTTCCACTGAAGAGCAGAGCCCCTCAGTCAGCCTTGATCCAGTCGGCGTGCTCGCGCAAAATACGGATCCCGTCAGAGGTGCCATCTTCGACGGTCTCATGGACGTCCTAGAAGGAGGATCTGATGGGCACGGCGACGACGCGCCCAAGCAGCCGTCGGGCGGTGGCGACGCCGGACTTGAGAACGGAACCGACGACATCCTGCGGGAGCGCACGTGCGCGCGGGAGTTGCGGCCCATGAGCGAGTTCACAAATAACGATGACATCCTGTACGGTGCATTATGGTACCTGTTCCCTCTGCGTCAGGGACTGCGTTCCAAAGGCTCCGTGAACTTCCACGATTCTCGCCACCTGCTCACGCAGTTCCACAACGCTTTCGCACAGCAGCCAAGCTTCCTTTTCTTGCTTGCCAATCAGATTCAGAGACATGCTGCCGCCAAGGGCGTCGGGCTGCGCGCCAAGACTGACCCGGATAGTTTCCAAGCGTTCGCGAGCATGATGGCCGACAAGGACGCCTGCATGGAGCGCGCGCGGGCTGCCAAAGAGGACCCGACAAGCAAAGGCGCACGAGATCTCCTGAAGGAAGTCATGCGTTTCACGGCAACCGCGGGCAAGGTGGCGCCGTGGAGCGGAGAAGAACGAGCCGGTGAGATTACAAAGCTGTACGCCATGTGGCGTCGGTTCGGCCCTGCCTCCGCCTTCCTCACTTGCGCTCCCGACGACGTCCACCAACCCGAGGCCAGGGGCCTCCGCGCGACGTGGCCGCCGGTCGCGGCGTCTCTCCGCCGGGAGCAGCGGGGGCCTTCTCTGAGGAGCAGTGGCGACGCGCAAGCCCGTGGGCTGGCTGCAGCGTCTCCACGCTCTGGGCGATCGGGCCGCCGTTTGCCGTCGGCGGAGATCACCCGCGAACCAGGCGCGCGGTCGCTAGCGCAGAAGCCCCTCTGCAAGGCCATCCAGCTGAGCTACCGCGCTGGCCGGGCCGACGCATTTCCCACTTGCCCAGCAACTCTACTTCCCGTCCTCCACGGACATGCAAGCGAAGAAGCCGTCCAGAGATTCTGCGAGAACTCCCTGGCGTGCGCGCCAGATGCTTCGCACAAGTTCGCTTTGGACGAATCCTTCCTGCAGGCGCTGGCAACCATGAACCCAGTGGCCACCACCCTGGTGCACGAACAGATGGCTGAGTCTATCTTCACAGAGCTCGCGGGCCTGCCCCCCAATCACCGGGGGAAGAAGACTGTTGACGCAGAGAGCGTTCCTAGGGGCTTCCTCGGCACACCTTTCGGCTGGAGCTTCGTGCACGAAACGAACCAGAGGAAGTCTTTCAATTTCCACGCCTCCGTACACGCCGGCGCCTCCCCCGCGCTCTTGGCCGACGTGGCGGGCTTCCCGGCGTTGCAGGCATTGGTGTGTCGGGCCTTGGACACCGTGTGCCGCGCCTACGTCTCCCCGGAGATCCATGCACTGGACCTTGCTCGTCGCCTCCTCCGCCAGCCCGCCGCGAAGTTACCGCACTTCCAGACGCGCAGCGTGGAGTGCGACGCGGAGAGCCTTTCCTTCGACATCGGCGCTGCCATCACGGCCGTCACGACTGGTCTACATCAACACGCCAGCACGTGCCACAAAGGAGCAGCAGGGAAGGACGGCTGCCGAATGGCCCGGCCAGCAGGCCACCCAGTGCCGGAGACGCGCGTGCTGGCTGTCAAGTTAGTCGATGACTCTGCCGCGGACAGCCCCGAAGCCGATGAAGGCGTTCTTGCTCAGAGAGCCTGCGCGAATTGGGAGTGTGCCGATTGCCGTGCAAATTCAAAGTTCCATGCTCGCCCTCCCGCGCAGCTGTCCGACAGCGACGCCGGTGCTTGTTTGTCCTATGAGCTCTGCCGACCCCGCATCACCGCTGACGGCGTCGCGTGCCGGACTCTGCGCCAAGTTCTGGGGCTCGCTGAAGCAGACGTTGACGCCATGGCTGCCTCGGAGGCGATCAACATTGTTGCCGGCGTGCGCCGTGAGCTGGGCGACCTGCTCGCGCGTCGGGAGTTCCCCTCCGCTCTCGGCGATCGCATGGCAGATTGTTCCGAGGAGGAGGCGTTCAAGCTTCTGCGAGCTTGGCGCGGCATGACCTGCCGGAACGCTTGGCTGGTGGAGTAATGCCCGATCCTGTCTGGATGCTTGGGCTGCATCACGGCGCCGTTGCTCCTGGGCGCCGGGGAGTCCGCCAAGGCAGCGGGAATGTACATGTGCAAGTACATGGTGAAAGACGCCTACGAGCTGGCGGCCCCCCTCTCCGTCCTCGCAGACGCCCGAGACCACGTTGGCCGCTACCCTTCCAGTGCAGTCGACGCTGGCGCGGGGGACAGGGCGGCAAAGCACTTCTTGCAACGTGTGCTCAACTCGGCCGCCACGGAGCTCGCCCCCACACAAGCGGCGGCCATCGCTCTCGGTACGACTTCCAGTGGCCACTCGCACAGCTTCGTGAACGCTTACGTTTGGGACGCCGTGCACCTGCTGCTGGAGATCCGGCGCGGCGGCTGCCTACTGTCGACAGCGTCAGCCTCCCGAGTCGCCGACGAGGCCCCTGCCGCATGCGTCTCAGCGGGAGGCGCGGAACAGGGCGGACGCGCTGAAGGGGGCGCCCCAGATGTGGTCGACGCGGCCGAGCAGCTGGACGCCCCTGTCCGGCAGGGCACGCGCAGCATCTACAAGACTGTCGACGGGGAGTCCATCGCTGTTTCCCAGGCGGAGCACTACGCACACCGATCCTTGCAGCTGCTGCCCCTCAGCTTTGACGAGTTCGCCATGTCTATGCAGGTTGCCAAGAAGGCGCGCAGAGACCAACGAGACCAGAAACCAGGGAGGCGCCCGAACCCCACCTACGAACTCCTGGAGCCGCACCCCCTGGCAGGGCAGTGCGAGATCAAAGCCAAGGCAAAGTTTGACGTGCCCATCTTTGTTGGGCAGCCGCCTCCGCGACTCCCGCCGCTGCTGACAGATGCGAAGGGCGGGGCCACGGCTGCGCGGCAGCGGAAGGAGCGCTTGCACGCGGAGTACTTCACTGCCGTGTTTGCGCCTTGGCATGCAAGCACTGCCACAGGAGTCGACTGCGCGCTTCACGGCTGGCAAACCTTCCTGGCCCGTCTCGAGGCCGAGGCCGCCGGGCGCCCACCCGCCGCGACTCGAATGCGCGGGAAGACTCTTCCTGTGGAGGACGTCCAGAGTCGGATTGCCCAGGGCCGTCTGTTTCGAATCGAGCAAGTGGGATGCGCACTCACTTCCAGCACAACTCAGGCGAAGGCCATGAACGCATGGCGGTGTCGCAACCGCACGCTGTGGAAGGATGACCCCCTGGGCTCTGCTGCAGACGCGGCCGACGCCGGCCAGGGCGCGCCGTCCAAGAAGGCCGCGGAGGACATCGCGGATCTCAAGGCTCGCGCCGCTCGCAGGGCGGACATTCGACCGTCAGTCGGGCCGCCCAGGCCGAGACTTGGGGCGAAGACAACTTCGCGTCTTTACGGCGGCTTTCGGCTACAGCTTCCTCGAGTGCGACCTCGCCGACCTGGCCGGCAGACGCCCAGTCGCGGACGGGCCGCGTGAGCATGAAGTTCCAGGAGAGTGGAGACCGGCTGGCTGCGGTGCTGCAGACGATCAGCAATCCCCGCTCAGTGGACGAGATTCCCCAGGTGGCTTCACGGCGCGCCTCGGACCGCCCCGTCGTCGACGCTGACTCTGTCCCGCGGGCGTTCGCAGACGTCACCCAGCAGGAGTTTGCGACCGAGGTGGCCGAATGGGCGCGACAGTGCAGGCTCCTCATCGCAGGCGAAGCAAAGCCACCTCCGCCTCTGAACCCCGCAGCGGCAGTTCGCCAGAGATCACCTGGCCGTGCAGCAATGCCTGGCGCGGGCGCGGGCGGTAGAAATGTCGGAGGCGGCCGGCCTGTCGCAGATGCATCTGCTTCAAGGGGCCGGCGGCGTGGGCAAAAGCGTGCTCCTCGGAGCCATGAAGACTGTCATCGCCGAGCAGCAGCTGGGCGCCATGGCTATCGCTGCGTGGACCGGGGTCGCGTCCGCGCCCTTCGGGTCCCCAACGCTGCGCTCCCTCCTAAAGATCGATTTCGCCCGCTTGTCGAACGCGGCATCCATGACGGATGACGCGATACAGGCTCTTCGGGCGGATTTCACTCAGGCTGCGTGCCGCCCGGAAGACTTGCTGGCCTTCCTCGTCGCCGAGGCCCTCAGTCACGTCGACGTGCAACTGCGACGTCTCGTGAACGAGCCGGACGCTCCTTTCGGCGGGATTGCCGTGATCCTCGTGGGCGACTTCTGGCAGAAGCCCCCGCCTGGCGGGATCTCCATGGCCGAGCAGCTCGCCGCGTCGGAGGTCCCCGAATTGATGCGCGGCCCCGCTCCGCTCGACCCGACCAGCTCGAAGGCCAAGGGCTTAGCGCTCTTCCGACAGGCCCTCGGAACTCGACTGGCCCCACCGCCCCCCCCTGTCGCCGGGCTCGCATTAAGCTTGGTATTTCATCGCCAGGTCGGCGCCGTTTGGGAGCCCCTATTTCCGAAGCGATTCCCCCGGAACAGCCCATTATGCGCGAGGGGCGCGCCCGGGCGGGGGGGGGCGGTCTGGCCAGTCACCAGGCTCGCAGAACGGTCCTCAGTCAGCAGATGCGAGTCGCCGACGACCCCACCTGTCAGAGGGAGTTGCTGCAGCTACGAGAAACTAGCTGTCCGACGCCAGTCCCTTCATCGTTGATCAACCATCTCAGGGAAGTTTCTCCCGATGACGCGCGGTCCGATCCGGCATGGGCCTTCGCGACCATTGCAGTGCTGTCCAACTACGAGCGGCATCAGCTGAATCGCTTGCAGGTGGAAGCCTTCGCGAAGGCCTTCCAGCTTCCGCTGATCACTTGGAAGTGCCCCTTGACAGGCAAGGCTGCCGAGCTCCTTGACAGCGCCGACCTCGACGAGCTCTACGACAACGAGCCTGGGTTGTGGGGTTGCTTCGTCAGGGGCGCTCCCGCCATGCTCACCGAGAATATACAGCCCACAAAGTTCCTGGTGAATGGGGCATGCGGGTACATGCACTCCCTTACATTGCAGGGAGACCTGGGGGGAGATCTTGACATAGGCTGGCGACCCCAAAACGGCCACAGTGAAAGAGAGCGGCGCGTCCGCGGGCGGGGCCTTGAACGTGCAAGCGCGCCCGGCGCACTCTCGGACCGCCGCCCTCTGACCTGTGCCCGCTTTGGCCCGCCGCTGCGAAGGCGAGCCCTGCCCCGAGTTTCGGAGAATTGTGCTGGAGGAGCCCCGCTGTGCATCAATTTCCAACTCTCTCTTCCAGACGGCGACGATGGCGAGGGGATCGAGAGCCCCGTGGACGACGCCGTCGTGGTGCCCATTCTCTGCAGCAAGCATCCGCAGGGGCATGACACGACGTCCCTGTTCTCCTGCGTCAAGGCCGCGCCCAAGAACGCCCGGCATCGCGGCCGCGCGATCGCGCTCGCCTTTGCCGCGACAGACTACAAGCTGCAGGGGGAACCCAAGGACAACCTCATCCTGAGCATCGCGCCGCGGCCTTTTCCGCCACATTTGGATTTGAAGGGGTTGTGCGTCGACGTCTCCCGCGCGCGCAAGCGCAGCGGCCTGCGGGTGCTGCGTCTGCCACCGCAGAGGGTGGGCGGACTCAAGCACCTGTACAAGCTGCGCCACACCGGCGAACTGGCAGCCTGGAACGCAGGTGAGGGGAAACGAGAGGGGGCGGGGGGCAGCTCACAGGCTGAAAACACGATTTCGCATTCGCGATAGATCGGCGATGGGCCCCCGATAGCCAAACCGTGCGTTTCTGGGCAGGGTGGGGCAGCCAGGCCCCGATCGCCGATACCTGTGTGATTTGGGGTCGACGCATCCCCCCTTGAGCTTATCCCCCCCTCCCTATCGTTGCCCCTCAGCAGGGCATGACGCCGGCGGGAGTTGGAGTCGGTCGCTGGCGGACGCAGCGCTGAAAAAGCCAGCTGCGAAACCGACCAAGACCAGGAAGTCAGTCGTGAAGCGATAGCTCTTCGCTCGGAGATCGTTCGTCGACATCCCGCCAGACGGGCGCCCCCCCCGCTCCCCCGAATTCTGAGATGTTCCGCTGCCAGACCCCGGCCGCGCGCACGTGCCAATTAGCTTCCCCGGGAACGGAGGGAGGAGGTCGGGAGCACCCGTGCCAGAAAATGCGCCTCGTCCGTCTCGCCCCTCTCATGGCGTGCAAGGCCGCAGCAGGATCCCGCGCTTCCCCTGGATGCGGGAGGCGCTACCGCGTCGCCGCAGAGGCGCGGTCGCCGTTCGTTCTGACGCCATTTCTGATCAAGCCGCGCGTGTTTACGTGAACTGTCGCCGCTGTCCCCGCCTGCCGCCCCGGCCGCCTGGGCCGCTCCGATGTCGGACCCGCTGGAGCAGATCAACAACACCAACGCCGCTTCCAAAGTCCTCCAGGCCCGCGCGCTGTTTCCAGAGGGGCGGGAGATCAAGGACAAGAACATGGCCGTCTTCGCGTGCACCTTGGTTTCCAAATCCGGGCTGCACACGCAGGGCGAGGCCATCCTGTTCGGGCAGGAGCAGACGCGCGTCAAGACGCGGGAGGCGCTCGAGAAGAAGCACTCGAATGGCACGGTGTTCGAGTTCTCCAATATGAAGATGCAGATTAAGAAGCCCCAGTTCCAGTCGTGCCCCCACGCGTTCACCCTGAACCTCGGGCACGAGACGCTCGCCGCGAAAAAAATCACGGGCGCCGCTGCCACTGAGATCCTCCCGGAGGCAGAGCCGCCGATGACCGCCGTGAACTTGCTCGACCTGGAGACCGGCCAGCTGATCGACGCCACGGCCGTCGCCACCAACATCACGGGCCCTGCGGGGGCAAAGGAGGGCAAGACGTGCATCACCGCGACTCTCTCGGACGCCTCCGGGAATGAGATCCCGCTCAAGTACTGGGAAGACACCCATCACCTGGCGAGGGGCATCGAGACCTTCAAGCCGCTGTATATCTATGGCGTTTACCTCGTCGTGGAGGAGTCCGGGGGTCGCCACCTGACGGCGCGAAAGACAGCGCGCGTGCTCGCGGCGCCCGGCGCCCAGCCCATCGCGAAGGAGCTCGGGGAGGCCGACTTGAAAGCTCTGCCGACCGAGAACAAGGAGAACCTGTCCAAGCGGGAGGGCGGTCGGAACTGGGAAGAGGGGCCAGCCTGCAGCGCCCATGCGGGCATTATGGAGTGCGCCGCGCACTTCAAGCGACCGCTTGCCGAGACGCTCTTCGAGATCGCTGGCGCCCTGATCTCCCTGCGGAGCGGCGACGCGGAGCCTGCCCTCGATGAAGGTCGACTGGTCCAGCAGGAAACCTCCTTCTCGGTCCGCCTGCAGCAGCTTCCCGCAGAACACCACAGGCACGTGACGCCACTCGCCGAAGTTGAAGATACCTCGAACTCCCTGACGTAGGGCCTGCGACTTCGTAGCTACGAGGAGATCGTCAGCATGCACGCAGACCAAGATGCACAACCTGCCGTCCTCGTTAAAGCCGCGGAACACCGTCGGGTCGAGCCGGGACTGCATCATGAGGATGGGCTTGACGTCCTCGTCCTTCAAGTCCGCCTCGACCAGACCCCGACGCAGACGTCGCCACCATAGCCGCGGCGCATCCGCGAGCCCGAAGATGCCCTTCTTAACCTTCAGGAGGCACCGAGGGTCCATGTTCGGCAGGCCCTCCTTGGGCTGAGACATGTAGAGCTCCTCGGCGCGCCCGTGCTTCTCGCCCTGCATGAAGGCGCACTCGACGTCGGCGGCCACGATGTCGAAATCGTACGCCGCCGCCACTGCCAGGAAGGTGAGCACCGAATGCCTCGACACGGCCGGTGCGTCGGTCCTGAGCCCCATCGCGAGGTCCGGGTCGTTGTGGCCACCACAGCACAGCCGAGCCTTCGGCTCGGGCGGCGCGTCCTTGACTCCAGCACACTTGTTCGGGGGAGGAACCTCGACGTCAAGATGCGGCTCTGGTGGACTCGCTCACGAACCTGACTTTCCTCGACTGAGAGCGGCTCGACGGCGTCGTAGTTCTCCCACTGCTTCCACTGCAACTCGGCCGCCTCGCGATAGAGGGGGCGATCGCTGGCTGGGATCATGTTCCATGGCATCTCCTTTTCCAGCGCTCGACGTTGCAGCCTAGTTGTGTCCCAGCTCCGCTTCGCGATCAGGCCGAAACTGAAATTGGCGAAATGAACGGGTTGTTCTGGATGATCGCCTGGGTGCTGAAGCGGCCCGACAGGGAACGGCCGGAACACCTGGCTCTGCCGGGCTTGTAAAGCCCCCAGCGCTTCTTGAATTCCTCCTTCGGGTAGAGCTGGCTGAGGGGGCGTCGCTGTCGACGCTGGAGGCTCCGCGCGGGCCGATGACGCGGGGCCCGATGGCGCGGCCGCCTCCTGCCGCTTGCGGGGCGGCTCGTCCTCCAGGCGCTCGGCCGCGTCAGCCGGGCGCTTGTCCCTCTCGATCTCCTCGATGTCCTGCTCCAGCTCTTTCGCTCGCTCCTCGAGGGTGTCCCCGAGGTCCTGGCCTTCTCTCCGATGCAGCGGTTGGGCCTTCTCATCTGCTTCACGTGGTCCCCGCCCTCGGTCGTCTTCGTACTCTGGCTGGTCTTCCTTCTCAACCTGGCGGATGAGCTCGTTCAGCTCCTCGATATTGGGATCGTCGCCCTGACCGGGCCACCAGATCTCCTCATCCTGAGCCAGAAGTTGGACGCTCCCGCTGGGCCGATGACGACGGCTGGGCCTCGCCACTCGTGGAGCTTCGTCCCCTTGCGCAGCCGCCAGTAGAACACCAGGTCACCGTTCTGGTAGCTGATGCGGGTGACCCTCGGCTTCCGCAAGAGTGCTCGACGGAGCGCCTGACTATTCTGCAGCTCCACGAAGGCCGTCCGCGCAGCCGTGCGGATAGCCATCCTCCTGGCGAGCTCCGTGGACACGTGATGCATGCTGTGCTCTGCAATCTGGCCAGGCCGGTCGATCAGGTCGGCAGACATGGTAGGCAAGCATACGTACACCCACTGCGGCGGTGAAAAGCCGCAGATCCGACGCATGTCGTTCTTGGTCCGGCAGGTCTCCCAGACGGCAGTCTCAAGGTCACCGCGGTTCGTGACTGACTTGTGCTCGACGACGCGGTTGACCATGAGCTTGAGCCAGCCGCCATGCCGCTCAGTGCGGCCGTTCTGCCACTGCGCCTGGCCTGCCACGGCCTTGACGCGGATCCCCATCATGTCCATGGCCTCCTGGAACTCGGTGTAGAACATGCCGTCCGGGTCGAGCCTGACCACGCTAGGCGGTCCAGCAGGCCACAGCTTTCGGAAGACCTTAGCCACGGTGGCTGGCTTCTGGTTCTTCAGGTAGCGCGCGACGTGGTACGTCGTGGAGGCCTCGACGAGCGACAGGAACAGGTAGGGTTTCCCGTGCACGTTCCGAAGGTAGAGGCCGTCGACGCCCAGCTCGTCATTGAAGCCGCCGACCGGCGACAGGCGAGAAACTCGATGAGATCCCGCAGCAGGCTTGGTCCTGTTGCACGTAGCACAGCGCAGGTGCTTGGCGCCGCGGACGAGAGCGTCGTCCGCGCCGTTGAGCCTCAGGTTCCTGGCCAGGTCGTCGTTCGAGGGATGCCCGAGGTTCTGGTGAAGGCGTTGAAGGTGAGACCGAACCTCCAGCGGCAGGATGTCACCCTATTCCCCGAACGAAATCACTCGGGAGCCCATGGGCTCCTCCTCGGGTGCCTCGTCGTCCTCGTCGTCGACGTCCGCCGCCATGGCCTGGTAGCTCTGGTTGACCACCTCCTCGAACCCGTCGACGATACGCCGACTGAAGTCCTTGGTGTAGACCTGGCTCCAGGAGATGCCCTTGCTGCCATAGCCCTTCAGCTCCGCGTGGTCGTGGTCCCCTGTGCACCGCAGGCCGCAGTGCTTCTCGAAAGGCGCGTGAGTCGCCAAGATCCTCGTAGGCTTTTTGACTGCCTTCCCGGTCTGAGGGCAGGTGAGGCCGCGCGCGCACATGTCAGTCTGGAACTCGACCACGCCCGGCAGTTGTCTGAGCCTCTTCCACGGGCCCTCGTTCCAGGACTGCCCCAGCCACGGGTGCTCCAGCACAGCCATGCGTCCGCCCTCGTACTGCTTCCCAAGAGCTTCTCGACTAGCTTCAGCGTCGGCAGCTCCTTCAGCCGCGCCCGCCGCAGGCGCTGCTTGTCTCTCTTGAACACGAGCTCCTGCATGTGGCTCCAGATCCTGCAGGTCGGCTCGAGCACCAGGCAGACCGGCTTCTCGCGAGCCACGAAGTCGATCAGCTGCTGCTGGACATTCGGCTTCTTGAGATCGTCGCCGTACTCGATGTCCCAGGGCTGGCCGACACGACAACCTCGACGGGCGGCCTCGCGCGACGCCGCGGCCTTGCCACCCCAGATCTCCACGAAGTTGATATTGGCGCCGTCCTCGTCGACCGCGACGCGTACCTCTTTGGTGGCGTGCTCCCCCGCGGCCTTGGCGCAGCTGGCAAGGTTGAGGCCAGCCGACTCGCCGATGGTCGCCGCGAGGCACATAGCTGGCAGCGTCCACGAAGCCAGAGCGCCGCGAAGCCCGCTGAGCACGCGCTTCTTCATCCCGCGGCGCAGGGGCCGCTTCACCTGACCAGCTGGAAGCCGAGATCGAGGTGGTTCATCAGCTCCTTGTCCTGGTCGGTCTCGGCCGCGCTCGACTCGGTCTCCGCCTCGCTCAGCTCGGACTCGTCGCTCTCCTCGTCGACTCTCGTGAGGTCCTGGCCCGGGTCCCAGTCCACCTCCGCCGCCGGGACCGCCGTCGTCGCTGCTGTCCGTGTCGGTGCCGTCCAAATCCTTGCCAGACGGTCTTCTTTGGTGTCCAGGCTCATGTGAGATGACGTACTCGGGGGACCTCGCTTCTTGACCTTGGCCTGGATCTCCCTCGCCATGGGAGGCGTGCTTGGAGTTGCCTTCGGGGGCGGCCCTGCGCTGCTCGACTGCACGGACCTTCTCGAAGGAGTAGCCGAACCCAGCAAGGACTTCGCGGAGACGGCGCTTGAAGGTATCGGACCTTCTGCTGCTGCCCACGCCTTGATCCTGAGCTTCAGGGCGTCCGCCGCCCCGTCGATCGCGATGCCTGCAGCCTGGCAGAAAGCGATGGCCTCGGGCTTCTTGAGCTTGCTGAATCCCGACGCCAGCTTGGCCCTGGGGGTCCCCTTTTGGTGTCTTGCCTCCTCGGGCGGTCGTGCGGCTCGCAGGCTTTCCCGTAGAGCCGCACACGTCTCGCTCCCCGAGGTACCCACTCCGATGGTCAGCAGCTCCGCGCGCAACTCCGCCTTCGTCATCTGAGTGATCCCCTTCCGAGTCGGTCTCACATGAGTCAACCTCGAGATGATACGCTTCCAGTAGCCCATGCTGATCATCACGCCGTGCATGGGTGTCACGAGAGCCTGGACCGCATTCATCAAGATCTGGGCGAAGCGCCACCATGCCCGCCGAAGATCTGGTCGCTTCTGAATCTGGCCCGGCATGGGCCGTAAAGGGCCCAACTGATATGGAACGTGAAATTGGACTCATCCTGATAAGTTGATTTGAGCCTTGGGCTACGGAAGTCGACGTACACGTTTGACCATCTCGAACGTTTGCTTGCTGCTTGTTTTGGTAATGCTCTGCATTTTGACTGGCCCGACTTCCGTTTTTGATAAGCTCGCTCTGCATTTTGATAAGCTCGATCTGCATTTTGATAAGCTCGATCTGCATTTTGGTAAGCTCGAACTCCGTTTTGGCGATGCTGATATGCTTTATCATGCTGTTGCTGCTCCAGGGCTTCGTATTGCTGCTCAATATCGTGCTGCTGCTGCTCGTTTTTGTAGACCATGAGCGTTTGCTTGATGTCCTGGACCTGGCCCGGCACTTCTGGATGCTGAGCCTGGCGATGAGACGGCTGACGATCAGAATGATGACCTTGAATATGATGTTGAATCTCCGGCGCCGTCTCGTCCAAGACTGCCCCTGGCGGTGCCACCCAGCCTTCTGCTGGAAACTGAAACAAATTGAGCAGCGGATGCTGGGAGTCAGCTTCTGTGACCGGCACGGGTGGCACGCCCAGCTCCTCTGGAAAACTGAAGGCGCTGGTCCTCGGGTCGTCGCGGATCCCGAGCTGCTTCGCCGATGGCCTCGAAAAGAGCAGCGGCAGGTCGCCTGGCGCGATGCTGACTCGCAGAATACCTGAAATACGATGTGAAATACATATCGGGATCAGCGCTGCAAAGGTGCCCCTGACCGGGTCGCCAGCTCCAAACCGAAACCGCTCCTTCTCGTCAACCCGCTGGTACCTCAGGCCACGCGTGCAACGCCTCAAGAGCGCCGCCCACAGCTTCAGCATGTTGTAGCCCATAACGCACCTGGTGCAGCCGCTGTCGTAGATCGCGAACCCGACGCACCCCCGCATCTCCTCGAAATACGCGAAGATGAACACAGGGAACGAGAGGGCCAGGAAAGAGTAGAAGCCCGCGCTGGTGTTCGGCTTCCTCTCGGCAGCAGGCTTGGGCGCGCTCCTGGCCGTCGTCGTCGCCCTCGAACTCGTCGCTGTCATAACCCTGTGCGGCTCCGCCTCCGCACAGCCGCTGTCATGGATAGCCGACGTCGGCCTGCGAGCTCCCGACGAGGGCTGTCCTCCTCCACGGGTCTTAGGGCACTCCGGGTCGCCCTTCCAGTGCCCTCGCTGGTCGCAGGCCTTAGAGACGGAATTCTTCTTCAGGTCGTCGATCTCCTTCTGCCTCTTCGGGTCTCGCTGAGCCTAATGCGGTGCTGGTGGCGGAGGGCAGCCCCGCTGGTTCTTGAAATCTTTCATATTGAACTTCGCACTCGTGAACTTCATTCGAAACTTATCCTTCCGCTGGAAACGTTTATTGCTCTCGCGAAAACCTGCCGCGTACGCCTCCGCAAGTGCCGCCATGGTCTCCTCATGGTCGCCACCGGGCTCCTGGTCGTCAGCGTCGCCCTCGAACTCACCCAGGCCCGGGAGGCAGGTAGGGTCTCCACCGTTCGCCAGGAACGACTCCACGGCTTGGTACTCGTCCTCATCAAGGTCGTGCAGGTAGTCCTGGACTGGGCCCTGCACCACCTCGTCCTCGGGCTCGGCGTGCATGGCGCGATGTTGTCCACCTCGTGGGGCGAACCTCTGGAACTTCTTGGGCTTGAACGGCTGATCGTGTCCGCGGCCGCCTGGTCTGTCGAACTCAGCAACATTGGGGCAATTTCTCTCGGCCGCCGCGGACATCACCTTGAAATCGTAATCGTTGTTCGCACTGGCCAGCACCATCGCGCGTCAATTGCTTGGCAGCCGCAGCTTCTCCAGAAAGAACCATCCGAGCACGATCGCGGGCAGCGCCGCGGCAAACTTAGCCAGGCGATGCACGAGAGTGTTGAACCTCCTCTTAAATGTACGCATATTTTCCTGGGGCCGCCTCTTGAGCAGGACAAAGAACTCGTGTAGCACATCTCCTTGTCGCATGAGCTCGAGCATCAAGAACTCGAGCCCTCCTGGCTCGGCGAACCTCTGCATGTCGATGTCTTCGACGGCGGCCCAAGCGTCGTCCTGCAGCCTCGCGTAGAGCGCCGGGCCGCGACGCTCGGACCTGAGGGGCGTCGCCAGCTGCCAGGCCTCGACGCGCCGCGAGGAATCCCGCCAGCCGCTCCCGTCGAAGATCGGGATCGGCAGGTTGCCCCGCGTGCCGCCGCCGCCCCTGTCGGCGCCTCCTCCGGGCGTCTCGGGCGCCGCGTCGTAGTCCTCCACCTCCTCCTCGTCGAGCTGCTCGAAGCCGTCGTCGTCGCGTTGCCTCTGAGGAGGCGGAGCCCGATCCGCACGGCCACGGTCGGGGGACCTCCAGATGCGAGCCGCCATGGCACGCGCCGAAGGTCTGCGCAGAGTGCGAGCGTGGCGCAGACCGAAACACACAGGCTCCGGCTACCAATGTGAGTGAAGTGTTTTACCTGCAGCGAGGGCTCAACAAAGCCGTTGCGACAAAGGCCGAAAGGTGCACCTGAGCGCACAGACAATTTGGGGAGAAACGCCATCGGCATGCGAGCGCATACACACGTGCACGATACACGCATGTCAACTAAGCTCGCACATTCACAATACTTACGCCTCTCCCGCAATATCCTCCTCGGGGCCAGTCGAAACATGCTGCGTGTACTTTTCTTTGCATGGCGATGGGCGATTGCATCGATCAGCTTCGAGGCTGACGACTCACCAGCCACTGGCCGCTTCCCTAGCTTGCCCGCCTTAGTTTGCCAGGTGCGCTCGCTACACAATCAATGCCTGCTACTTCCGCAGGCCACAGCGTCACTACTAAGGAGACAAGCCGACAGGAAACGACACTCAGGGAAGGGACCAGGAGGACAAGGATTGGGACGACCCAGGATGCTTGCGCAATGGGGGCACCAAGGGGTCTCCGCCATCATCTTACCACCACCATTCCTACCATCAACCTACATGCACGGGACGGCACAGGGAGGAGACGTAGAGGTATGGAGATACGTAACATGCTGCTGGGACTATGCGCGTGGAGTGCGCGCCTGTGCGAGTGCCCACAGTGAGCTCATTTTGTTTCACGCAACGTTGCTCATTCGCCACTCGACAGCTCAAGACGCCCTAAAGCACTATGAAGGACTGGCCTCTAGTGCTGCCGACGCGTGGGAACGAAGGAATGTCTGTCAGGTTTTTGCCACGCTACGTGCCATGGGTATTGGATCTGCCAAAAGGGTCAGCACGCGAGCACAACCTATCATAGAATTGGAGGATGGCACAACCGCCTCCGCACACACAGAAGCAGCTGACCGATGGCTGCGCCATTTTGCCGCCGAGGAGATTGGGGTTGTGGTTCCGCTGGAAGAGGCAGACACCTTTGCGCAGACTATCCCAAAGCTGCAGAGCAGTCTCACAAACGACATCGACCCATCCGACGCTTTCCTACCTTACCCTGGCGGACTACCAACGAACGTGCCGCTCAGCCAAGCCCTCAGCAGCCAGCTTAGATGGCATCCCAGGTGCCTTGCTACGCCAGTTTGTGCCAGACTTAGGAAAAATGTCCTACCCCGTGGTGGTCAAGGCTTGCCTCAGGATAGAAGAACCACTGCAATGGAGAGGGGGGAACTACTGGAACATCTGGAAGAAGAAAACTAACCCAGCAAAGTGCAAGCACCATCGCTCGGTCATGATCTCCCCCCAAGTGGGTAAGAAGTATCGCCGGCTCATCAGGAATCCCCTTGCCAAGGTGCTCCCAACGTTTGCAGGGGGCTCCCAGTTTGGAGGAATAGCAGGCAGAGGAGTAGATATTGCAGCACTTGCGCTCAGGTCATTCCAAGAACTGGCCGCAACTTTGCATCAGTCAGCCATGTTTTTTCATGCTAGACGCCATCTCTGCGTTTCACAAGGCCACAAGAGAGCTGGTCATGCAGGTGGGCACAAGTGACGCCGACCCCCACCTCATCCTCACCACTGCGGGGCTCCCACCAAGCGCCATTGAGAACCTCGAGGACCACATTGCCAGGCACCCCACCATTTTGGAGGCCGCTGGAGTACCCCAACACATCAGGGTCCTTACAGCCTCCAGTTACACAGGCAGTTGGTTTTGGCACCCAGGAGCCACTGCGGTTCCATACTCACTGGAGGGAACGGTGCCAGGACAACAGCTTGGGGATGTGACTTGCAATGTTGTCATGGCAGCATGCATCCAGGAAGCACAGCAATCACTACGCGAGCTCGAGCTCGACATCCGCATTCCCGTTGCTTTGCATGCGAGCTTGGCTGGCCTCTTGCAACACACGCCAGACACACTAAGAGGAGGATTGGACATATGCTTATTTGACGACGGAGCTATCATTGTCATCGGCCCTGCTCCCATGCTTTTACTCGCATCACCTCGCGTGGCGGAGGTAGTAGCAGCCAGCTTTGTGCGCAGAGGCTTGCGCCTCAACTTTGCAGCGGGCAAAACGGAGGTATTGTTTCAGTTGCGAGGGCGTGGAGCCAGACTGGCCAAACGTGAACTCTGGTGGGACCGTCACGGACGATTCGAGATACAGTCTGACCTACTGGGCACGTGCACATTACATGCAGTACGTATTTACCCACACTTGGGCACACAGCTGGATGAGCTGGGATCTGTAGGGCCCGAGCTGGCCCACAGGGAGGATTCTATACGGTCATCGGCTAACTTGCTACGAAGACGTATATTTGGGGCCCCAGTGGATATCCCTCAAGAGGCCCGCCTCCACTTCACCGACTCTCTCCTCTTCTCGGGCCTCCTCTTCAACTCAGGCACCTGGCCCCAACTTACCGACGCGCAGCACGCGCACATGCAGCACGTCATGGTGAAAAAATACCGACAGGTGCTCCACCTACCGCAAAAGGACGAAGATTCAGTCCCGGACAGACTGATCCTTGCGAAGGTAGAGAGAGCCGGCCTACGTGCAAAGCTGCGTGTGCAGAGGTTACGCCTACTAGGACTGCTCATACACTACGGCACACCCACGCTACGCAGTCTGGTTGTGCATGTGTACAAAGTCGCACAGGGCAGGCGCACATCTTGGATGCACAGAATCATGGACGACTTGGAGTGGTTACGTACTACATACCACAAATTCCGTGACATGCCCGAGCCGGACACACACTTTGCAAGTTGAGAGACATCATTCAGACATCTCTGCCAGCGTGGAAGCACGCGCTCAACAGCGCACTCTGAGCTCATGCCATTGCAGCAGCTGGGGCAGCGCTGGCACAGCAGGCACAGAGCGACTTTTTCACGCTCGTTCGGCCAGCGGGCGTGCCTGTCCCCATCACGGATCCTACGCACCCTATTTACCCCCCCAAAGTGTTCAATGCCAGCCTACAATGCATGTGGTGCAGCTTTCTTGGCACGTCCGCCAAAAGCACACGACAACACCATAGTGCGTGTACACTACAGTGCGGTACACCTCATTTCACGCTTCATGGGGGAGGGAAGTACATGCATGGCGTGCTCTATGTCTTTTGCAGCAAGAAGACAATTGCGAGACCACCTTGCATTCGATGCTCCATTATGCCAGCTAGCGTACATGATGCATGGAGCTGCAGTATCCCCGGACAGAGCCGAGGAATTGCGCCTAGCAGATGCAGTCAGCCATGCAGTTCAGAGAAAGTCAGGACTAAGGCGCTGGCGAGCAGCTTTCCCAGCATCAGTGCAGTACCCAGAGGACGGGCTTTACCCGTCGGCCATGCTGGTAGCCGCCACTTTCAGCGCAGCTGAAGCCAGGGCCCTACTCCAGCAGGCAGCATACGAAATCAGTCCCGACGCTCTCCCAGCCTACCAGGCCCTCTTCGACGACCCCCCCGAGGAGCCTACCCAGGATCAGCCTCTCTATATGGACCGACACTACAAATACAGATCTCACGACTTTCAAGGGACGGCAGCAGAGTGGATACCCTGCCGCATCCATCGAGCTGAAGTGTTCATGTTGAATGTATTCTCAGGCAAGAGAAGGCAAGGTGACATATAGTTCTGGCTGGACGGCACGTACACACACAGGGACTTGCAGGTATGTATGCTGAGTGTGGACATTGCAATCAATCCTACACTAGGGGACCTCACACAGGCCAATACTATCCGACAGTGGGGGGAACACATCCTATCAAAACGGGTATGGAATACAGGGGGGGGGGCTTGTGAAACATGGAGTGCGGCCAGATGGCTGGACGCCCCCCCCCCTGCGTACTCATGAATGGTTTTGGGGTGTCCCCTGGGCTACCGACAGACAGGCACAGCAGCTAAAGGTAGGCAACACGCTCTTGCAAAACTTGGTGTACCTCTTGGGCTGCCACGTCACAGCGGGGACCTCGGGGTGGATGGAGCATCCTATTCCCCCCTATTGGCGCTCCCAGGCCCCCAGCAGCTTCCAATGGGAGCCCCTTGCAGCGCTCGCAGCAGCACCCAACGTCGTCACAGCAGACTTTGACCAGTGCGTGCACCAGCCAGCCACACGTTGCCCCAGTGAATACGGGCGTGCGCCCACAAGGCTCCTGGGCTTGCGCATGGAATGCCTTGTTCGCAGGTTGACAGATACTCCGAGGAAGGGACGATGTCATCATCCCAAAGGGGCTCACAAGATACTGCGTGGCAAGGAGACTGACGGAAAGGGAGGGGCCCCACAGTTCCGAACCCATGCCAAAAAGACGTACCCCTCGGAGATGTGTAACAGGATGGCCGCATCGATCGCAGCATCCATTTCCAGAATATTTGCGCACGCCAACGACGCAGACATCGTGGGCGAGGATCTTGACCC